GAGACACATCCGTCTTGCACAGAGAATCGAAACAAGATGGCGAGAGCGGAACTCTCGAGTACCGAGATGGGCGTGCGATCTGCCGCGACGATCGATGTATCGACTAGCAGAGCGTAACCGGACAAGCCAATCTCTGATTGGTCGGCTTGAGATAATGGCCGCTCGAGAATCGGAGTGATATTTTCCGAACATTCTGCCCATCTTCTACGATAACGTTGGAGAATGATGAATTGATGCTGTTGCTGATGGGTCCGGGTCAGAGGACGGTTGATCCGATGAAACCGGGAGAATCACTAACTTGGTGATAGGCCGTCGGAGTTCAGAGGTGGCAGTCTTGAGTGTGACTACCCGACAGAGGCCGTCCGTACCTGGCTGGAGTGCGATTACTCGAGCGAGGGGCCACTTGGAGGGAGGCGACCGTTCGTCGGTGAACAGGACTAGCGAGCCGACTCAAATCTGCGTCGATGGATGATGCCATTTCGAGATGGAGAGTTGGTGTTGTAGACATTTCCTTGACCATCGAGCCCAGAAATGTTGAACTTGTTGCTGGATAAGTTGCCACCGAGATCATCTGAAGATCGGTACCGCAGAAAGAGAAGGCTCTGGGATTGTGGTAGAAGCTTCGCCAATGAGGAAGTGCCCAGGTGTGAGCACCGAGAGATCCTCCGGATCGTCAGAGAGAGAGCACAGTGGCTTCGAGTTGAGTACTGCCTCTATCTGTACCAGAAGTGTTGTAAATTTCTCATAGGTCAGGAGCGTATCGCCGATCGTCCACCGTAAGTGGTATTTGACGGACTTGACCGCTGATTCCCACTTTCCCCCGAAATGAGGGGCCGCCGGTGGGTTGAATACCCAGTGAGTGCCGTCGTTGAGCAACAGTTGGGAGAGCTGCTGAGACTCCGTTGATCCCGAATCGAAAAGTCGTTTGAGGGCGGCGTCCGCTCCAAGAAAGTTGGTGCCACAGTCACTGAATAGCGTGTGGCAGATGCCGCGTCGTCCAGTGAACCGTCTATAAGCAACGAGAAAAGCCTCGGTGGTGTATTCCGTGACGAGCTCCAGATGGACTGCCGAGGTGACGAAACAAACGAAGACCGCTATCCATTCCTTGTGACATTTGGTACCCCGTCCCCGCCATGATTTGAGTGTAATAGGGCCGGCGTAATTGACTCCCGCGGTGAGGAATGGGCGGGAGGGCGTGACGCGGGAGGGCGGAAGTTGTCCCATGAGTTGTTGGGCCCGAACACCGCGGTACCGGGTACACCGTACACAGCGTAGGATGTGAGATCTCACCGGGGCCCGACCGCCGATGACCCAATAGGTTCTGCGGAGATAGGTCAATGTCAGCTGAGTCCCGCCGAAATGTCCGCCGATGAGCATCCGCGATAAGGAGCTGAGACAATCGGTCCTCCCTCGGCAAGATAGCCGGGTGAATGCAGTCCGGATCGAGTAGCGAGTTCTTGAGGCAACCTCCCACTCTGAGTATGCCGGAGTGGTCAATAAAGGCGGTGAGCTTAGACAGAGGATGGGTCTTGGGCAAGAGATTCCCGCTCGAGAGGACCTTCAGTTCAGAGGCAAAGTGAATCGCTTGGGTCACTCAAACCCAGAATAACCGTGCCGCCTCCAAGTCGGCCGGAGTGAGAGGGTTGGCTAGGGATGACTGAGGCACCCCTCTGAACGTGGCACAACACCGCTGACAGGTAGCTGTGATCCGAAGCAGCCGAGTGAGGGAGGAGTACCGAGAGAAGAGATCCCACAGCTCGGATTGCGGGGCAGTTACCAGGAGCAGGAGGCCGGGTCGCTCCTCAAGTGTGGCCGCGGAGTCCGAAGGTGAGGGAAGGTCTGGCCAGTGTAGGGGGGGAAGGATCAACCAAGGGAAACCGCTCCACCAGAGAGAGTGCTGAGAGAGTTGGATCGCCGAGAGGCTACGAGTCGCACAATCCGTTGGGTTTTCGGAGCCGGGTACAAAGCGTCACCGGGCGTGGGGGACGAAATCTTGTATGGTCGCTACCCGATTGCTGACATACTCCTTCCACCGAGAGGGGTGGCTATTGATCCACGTGCGCACCGCCGATGAGTCCAGCCACATGAAGATCGAGGCCATGGTCAGTTCGAGCGTTCGTTGAACATAGTTGACGAGGCGTGCTAGGAGTAAGGCTGCCGTGAGCTTTAATCTCGGAATCGTGAGCCGCTTGAGGGGGGCTACCTTGGTTTTGGCGCACACCAGTGTGATGGTAGGTTCCGCTGAAGGAAACCTTGATGTACACTACCGCCGCCATCGCTAGTTGAGATGCGTCCGAGAATCCGTGGATTTTGATGTGAGCTGAGAAGGCAAGGCCTAACCACCGAGGAACAGTGATGCGTGAGAGGTCCGATAGCTCATTCCGGAATTGAGTCCACCGGTGCCGGAGGCGGGGTGGGAGGGGGTCGTCCCAGTCGATCTTTTCAAGTCACAACTTCTGCAATAGCATCTTGGCTCTGATGGTGACAGAAAATATGAACCCAAATGGGTCAAAGAGTTGTGAGGCTTCTGATAGGATGATTCGCTTGGTGACGGGAGACTCTGTTGGTTGCCGTGACGAAAAGGTGAATTGATCGGGTTCCGATAGCCAATTGAGTCCCAAGATTTTACCCTGACCGTCCGAGAACGAATGAGTCGTCGGTGAACCCGTGTTGGATGAGACGGACTCGCACAGCTCCGGGTGATTGCTTTGCCACTTGGCTAAGGGAAAGCTGCCCGCCTTGCAGAGGTCCACCAGCTGGAGAGCCGTCGCTTTCAACTCCTCAAAGTTGTCGGCATCGCCACAGGTGTCGTCCACATACCTCCCCTTGAGGAGGGGAGCTACAGCGAGTGGATAGTTCGCGCCTTCGTCTTCCACGAGTTGAAAGAGAACTCGGATCGCCAAGAATGGGGCCGATTTGGTGCCGTAGGTGACCGTAGTGAGCTCGAAGATGATCACGTTGAGCTGGTCGTCGACCCAGAGGATGCGCTAAAAGGCCTAGTCGTCCGGGTGAATCAAGATCTGACGAAACATTTTCCGGATATTCGTGATGAAAATGCACCGATGCTGTCGAATCCAGAGGAGAACGTCAGAGATGTCTGACTGCAACTTGGCGCCAGTATGAAGCAGGTCGTTCAGAGATAGGCCGGTGCTGGTGATGCTGGATCCATTAAGGACCATTATGACATTCCCCTTGAGTACTCCATGGTGGGGTAGATAATACACCGGGGTTGAATTTGAGCCGCGAAGAGGGAGTCTCACCATGTGCCGGAGCTCCTCGTACTCGCGCATGAATGATGAGTAGCGGAGACGATAGGGCTCGTTCGAGGAAAAGCGTCGTAAGAAGCGTTGTAAACACGCCTGAGCGGTTTGTTGAGAGTTACCCAATTGAGTGGCTAGTGACTTGAATGGGAGCCGTACAATGTAGCGCCCGGAGGGATCCCGCGAGTGGGTGGCCTTGAAGTGGCCTCGCACTTTGCCTCTTCCTGGCTGGATGGGGTGAGTAGCTAGTGAGGACGGGACTTCCTCCTGAAGCCAGAATGAGGCCAGGATATTGTGAAGGTCATGACTCACGGTGGCCTGACAGGCAGTGGCACCGGAAGGTGATGAGATTGAGAGCGGCCCAAAGACGATCCAACCAAAGATGGTGCGTTGAGCGACGGGCTCATGCTCAGTCCCCTTGAGAACCTCCGATTGAATAAAGAGTCCGTATGTGTCCGCTCCAAGAATTAAATCGATGCGTCCGGGAGTGAGGAAGGTCGGATCCGCCAAGAGGAGTCCCTGCAGATGAGTCCACTGGCGATCTACAACCCCGAAGGAAGGAAGTCGGGTGGTGAGCTTGGGAAGTACGTGTGCGGTAATGAGGATAGACCTGGGAGTGTGGATGGATTGTAAAGTTACCGAGACGGCGCCGCACGTTTGTCCAGAGTGAGACCCGCCAATGCCGAGGACAGGGATCGTTGATGATTGCTTGGGGAGGTGGAGTTACTTCACAATCGATTTCGAGATGAATGTGAGTTCGGATCCAGGATCCACGAGCATTCGAATTTGATGAATCGCCGGAGGGAGTTCGCATGAGAGCTCTACACGTAGCGAGCAGAACCGCCGGCCGAGGGATGGTAATCGATTGAGGAGAGGATGGGGCCGTGAAAGATAGTCACTCTGAAGCTGATGGTGAGGCATCCCGAGTCTCAGTGCTGACGTCTGGTGAGGCTGTGACCGGACGTCACTCTCCGGGTACGTGGATCACACGAAAATGTGAGATTTCAGCCAGATTTGCCTATCAAACGGTCGCCACTCGGTTTGACCCATATGTACCGAGAAGGTGAGTAACGAAATCATGACGCGATATTGCAACGATATCACATTAATTCTCTCTTATTTTCAGGATCTCGACGCAGGATGTCTCGACGCCCCGACGCTGCCTCCCCACTGCTGGATCATCGATGGACAACGTGGGACCACCTTCGGAGTACCAGGTAAGTAGATAACGGATACGTTTAATTAATCGGTCAATTTCTGTTTCAGGTATTTCACCCGAGCAAATCCTCTCGCCCCGGATGGATCTCAACGGTCGCTGACTGCCCCAGATTCTCGCAGAATCGCATACTGGAACGCCGCTGGACTTCGCTGGATCGATGCCGTAGGACAAGGTAAGTAGCAGGTAAGTAATTCGAAATTAACTTGACACTGCGTATATTAACAAACGATTGATTTATTTCAGATCGTCGTTGTGGTTTACAAATTCACGTTGACACATTTCGTCGAACGTTGTTACAAATAGCTATTGATTGCCTCTCGCAATTATAATCACGAGCGATGTTTAACGCGCAAGTACGCGGGCATGCTTCTTTGTGATATACCACGGTGCTAAACTACGCACTAAGTCCGAATATGAGCGAATCTTAAAAGCGTGTCATCCCGATCGCGGTATCCGAGCGACTGCCTCGCGTTGCCGAGCGCTCTCGGCTATCCCACCTCGGGATATCTATCCCTACCATCGGGTTGTTATTCACATCCTACTCTTCCGTGCCAGGTGTTACCCGCTTTCACTTTTCTTTTGATAGTTTTTGCCTGTTTTCGTTGCCGGTTACGGCTGCGGTTCTCAATCTGCGCTTTATAACTAATCGCGCCTGCGGTTCTCAATCTACGTCTTATAATTAATCGCACGCGTCGGCATGGGTCCCGCTGGACCCCGCTCCCCCGGTTCGGGTATTTCACGATTGAGTGGTCTCGCTGACCCTCCGGATCGATTTCGGCGCCTCCTCTAATGGCTTTCCACCCGCCAGATTTTCCCGGGCTCCCTCGGTTTCCGATATCCGGGGGTCATTGCTTGTCCCCGCTAGACTCGCTTCCGTCATCAATATCGCGTCGCGAGTCGATCGGTTGTTCTTCGGGTCGCCCTTGAAGCGTGTTTGGCGAGTCGGCCGCCCGCCGTGACCTCCGTGCCCTTCGGCGCGGGGGTTATTGTTATGACCCCGCGATTTTCGCGCCCGTCGATGGGATCGCCTCGCGGTTTGGTGGGTCCTTGTTCGTGCGTCCCTCGGGACGACTTCCGCAGCTCAGCCTTCGGCTGAGACCTCCGTGTCCCCCGGTACGGGGGTCATTCTCGTGACCCCGCGATTTCCGCGCCCGTCGGTGATATCGCGTCGCGGTTCGGTGGGTCGCTGTTTATACGTCCCCTGAGACGACCTCCACGGCTCAGCCTTCGGCTAAGACCTCCGTGCCCCCCGGTACAGGGGTCATTCTCGTGACCCCGCGATCTCCGCGCCCGCTGGCGTTGTCGCTTCGCGGTCCGGTGGGTCGTCATTCGGGATCCTCATGGGACGATTCCCGTGATTCGGCTATTGGCTGCGACCTCCGTGCCCCTCGGCGCGGGGGTCACCCCCGTGACGCTACGATCTTAGCGCCCGCTGGCGCTATCGCGTCGGAATTGATTCGATTGCCCTCCGGGTCGCTTCTGATACGATTTACGCGGCTCAGCCCCCGGTTATGACCACCGTGTCCCTTTTCGCGGGGGTCATTCGCGTGACTCCGCTATTTCCGCGTTGGTCGTTCCCGGCGCTTCGCGTATCGGGTGGTTTGCCTCCGGGTCACCCCTGAGACGTATTTCGGGGTTCGGCTCCCGGCTATTACCGATATACCCCCGTTCGCGGGGGTCAATCTCGTGACCCCGCTATCTCGCGTGTCCTTCGTGCTTTTTCGACCGCGCTCGTCCCGATCTGC